AGCATAATCATCATCATAATCTTCATCAGTATCGTCTTCGTCGTCATCATCAGCATCAGCAGCAGCGTCATCCTCATCGTAATCTTCATCAGCAGCATCATCACCACCCCCATCACACTCTTCCCTCTTCCTGCCCCTCTCTTCTCATACTCCTCGCTATCCATCAGCACCCTCAACGTCCCACTCCCCATGCTCGTCATCATGCGCCTCATCCACATGTTAACCCCCTCCCCGCTCCTCATCTTCATACACCTCCTCATCTTGATCCTTCCTCACTCCTCTTTGTCATTCTCCTCAGTCGTCGCGTCCACCTCCTAGTCCTCATTCCCCTCCTTCCTCCCACTCCTTCTGCCCCCTCCTCCTTATCCAACTCTTCCTTCTCCTCCCCCTCCTCCTCGTTCGCCCCATCCGCATCCACCCTCCTCCGCCTCAGGCTCTACCCATCAATCTCCATCACAGACTCCTCCTCCTCCTCCTCCTCCTCCTCCTCCTCTCTCTCTCTCTCTCTCTCTCTCTCTCTCTCTCTCTCCTCATCCTCCACATCCTCTTTATCCCACCCCACATGCTTCAACCCACCCAATCCTGTCCCTTCTCTTCCACGTCCTCCGCCGTGCCCTCCTCCACCTCCCCATGATCCTCGTCATCATCATCAGCATCATCATCATCAGCATCATCATCATCAGCAGCATCATCATCACCACCACTATCATCATCATCATCATCACCACCACCACCACCACCACCATCATCATCATCATCATCATCATCATCATCATCATCATTGTCATCGTCATCATCATCATCCTCATCATCATAGGCATCATCACCATCATCATCAGCAGCAGCATCATCAGAATCATCATCATAAGCATCATCATCCGCATCCTAATCATCAGCAGCATCAGAAACATCACCATCATCATCGTCAGCATCAGCATCATCATCAGCAGCATCGTCATCATCACCATAATCAGCAACAGCATCACCATCATTATCATCAGTATTAACATCGCCATCAGCAGCAGCAACACCATCATCATCAGCATCGCTTCTATCGTCAACATCACCATCATATTCATCATACTCATCATGACCGTCAAAATCATCATCAGCATCATCATCATCATCTTCATCATCATCACCACCACGATCAGCAACGTATTTTCATCCTCATCCCCATCCTCCTCATCATCAGAATCGTCGTCACATTCATCCTCATCAGCATCGGCATCATCATCAACATCAGCACCACCATGATCATCAGCATCACCACCAATAACAACAATCAGAATAAGACTGCTCGCGTGCCATTCAACACGTATCTCCCAAACCCCCGGTACCCGCTCTCTTCGTCTTCGATCCTACCCCCTTGGGCGTATATCTTCCTTACCTTCCACGTGCATGTAGTGCAGCCCCTAAGGCAGGGGAAGAGAGGACGGATGGAAGGTGGAGGGAGAAGGATGGAGCCCGAGTGAAATTATCAGGAGGGGGGCTAGGAGCAGAAAACACGTGGTAGAACCAGACGGGCAGATCAGGCGGGCAGACCCATAGCGGGCGGGTCGGGAAGGCGGGCCCAGGCGACCAGGTCGAGCAGGCGGGTTGCTGAAGCGTGAGTCCTGCATGAATCGCGAGGAAACCTAGAGCGACAGCGCGATTCCCAAGTAAATCGTGAGAAACGCCAAAGCGAGAGCGTGATTCCTGAGTGTCGAGGGCGCGGCATCTGAATTAACTGCGAGGAAATCCCACGCGAGAGCGCGATTTCTGTATAAGTTGCGAGGACGTCCCGCGCGAGAGCGCGACTTGGGAATACATTCTGAAGAAGTATCAGGCGGGAGCCGTTGTTTTTGTAGTTCGGGGACCAATGGCCCAGTTTGACCCTCAAAACTCTCCCTAAAAAAAACCTGGTTGCGAGCCCCCGGAGGGGCACTTTCACAGGAAAACGACAATGTGTGCCGGATGGGGGATCAACAGCAATCCTTATTCATAAGTGCGAGCTCAACAACAACAAAAAGCCTTAATCTGTGCAAGCTTGATTTAAGATTGTTCGCTCTTGTCGCGTGCGTGTCGATCGACATGTGTTTCCCAAACCCTGGATACCCGCCCTCTTCGTCTTCGATCGTACCCCCTTGGTGGCATATCTTCCTTACGTGCTACGTGCATTTAATGCAGCCCCTAAGGCAGGGAACGAGAGGGAGGAAGGGACAAGTGGGTGGGAGGAGGATGAAGCACGAGAGGGAAAGTAGCAAGACCGGGGGCTAGGAGCAAGAAACACGTGGCAGAACACAGACGGGCAGATCGGGCGGGTAGACCCTAACGGGCGGGTCGGGGAGGCGGGCCCAGGCGACCAGGTCGAGCAGGTGGGTTGCTGAAGCGTACGTCCTGCATGAATCGCGAGGAAGTCTCGAGCGATATCGCGATTCCTAAAATCGCAAGGGAATCCATTGCTGTTGTAACTCCGAGGCCAGGGGCCCATTTTGGTGACACCTCGCTTCCCCTTGTA